CCTTTTTTTTTTTCATTTCTCCCTCACTAACATGGCGTCCCTCCCTCAATTATATATTACTAAAATGGCGTCCCCGTTCACTTCTCTATCACTGACGTGGTGTTCCCCCTCACTTCTCTATCACTGACGTGGTGTCCCCCCTCCCTCTAATTTATCTACAACTAAGGTGGCGCACCCCTCCCTCACTTATGTATCACCGACGTGGTGTTTCCTCTCACTTATCTACCAGTGACGTGGTGTCTCCCCCACTCATTTATCTAGCACTGACGTGACGCCCCCCCCTCACTCATCTACCACTGACGTGGCGCCCCCTCTCATTTATCGACCACTGGCGTGACGTCCCCTCCCCCTCACTTATCTACCAATGACGTGGTGTCCCCCCACTCTCTCATTTATCTACCACTGACGTGGCGTCCCCTCCACCCTCACTTATCTACCAATGACGTGGTGTCCCCCCTCTCATTTATCTACCACTGACGTGGCGTCCACCGTGAGCAGCTGTTGGAGCACCGGGTCGTGCATGCAGCCCTCCACAAACTCCTCCTTTGAGATGACGCCGTCTTTGTTGGTATCTATCCGGGAGAAGATACCCTGTGTCCGCTCCTTGGGAGTCTCCTTCACCTGGTCCGCCAGACTGCCCAGGAAATGGTGGATGGCCGTTATGATCTTCTCCATCTCATCCTGGTCGATCATCCCGTTACCATCAATGTCGTAGAGGGAGAAGGCCCAGTTGAGCTTCTGCTCGGGATCACTGTCCTTAGAGGTCATGCTGATGGCCACCAAAAATTCCTTAAACTCGATCGTGCCGTTTTTATCCATATCGAAAGATCTGAAGATGAACTCACAGAGCTCGCTGGAGTTCCTGTGCGGGAAAAACTTGGAGTACACTTTCAAGAATTTGTCTTTGGTCAGTTTTCCGTCCGGGCAATCCTTCATGAAGCCCTTGTACCACCGCTCGATCTGGTCTTTGCAGAACTTGGTGTTCTGTGTCAGAAAGCTCATGTCTTCTTTGGAGGCGCGTGAGAGACTTTTGCCCATTGTGTTTGATGTTTGGGTTTTTGGCTCGACGGCTTCTTTGATTTGTTTTGTTTGAGGATTTTACCAATGCACTAATGAATCTGGTAGTTATACGAAGATCACGATTTGGGCAATAGTTTAGTGATGCTTTAAATAAAAACAAAAGTCCTGTGAAGATCGAAATAGTGTCAATAGTCCTACGAAGATTAAGTCTTTAGTCCTGTGAAGATTAAGGCTACAGTCCGGTGAATATCGGGATAATAAAGGAAAAAGTCCAGTGAAGATTTGGGCAATATTCTTGTGAAGATTTGAGAAACAGTTCTTTGACGATCAAGATATAGGCAATAGTCCAGTGAAGATCTGTGTGTAGGAATTAGTCCTCAACAAACTTCAGAACTCAGTCAAAGAAACCGAGCTACCTTGACGACACATCCAAGAGACGTATATGGCTTTTTGAGCTGCGCAAAACTCACTCACTCACTCACTCACTCACTCACTCACTCAACGCTAGATGTGTTTATGACGCGTGGTGTGAAGACCACGAAAAAAGAACCAACTTCCCACGTTGACGCTGAGCTGGAGAGAAATAAAAAGAATCCTTCGATGTGGAGAAGAGTGAACCTAAGTCACACGCGTGGACGGGCACTCGTGGGGAAATGATGTCTCGGTGAGAGAGCCAGCGACTGCTGCTTTTTATTTGACACAACGACTGTCATCTGACGGACAAACAATACCCCACACATTACAACCGTTATTTGACGCACAAACAAAACCGCACACAGTACAGCCATAATCTGAAGAATGTGTTCCCCAAGCAACAACAGGTCGGTCCGCGGGAGCGCGACAGGTGTCGTGGTGTGGTGGAATCTGGAGATGGTCAATTTTTTAGGCTTAACATTCAGGTATTGATAGATGGACTTCGACGCAATAGAATCAGGCGCTCGTCAATAATTGCTGGGCTGTTGCAAAGCAAGACCAGCGAGCCGTACTGAAAAGCTTGGTTTTTATAAACTATAAAAACGTACTTTGTCTACCAGACCCGTAACATTTTCAAAGTGTATTACGGCGCTCGCAACTGCATATTATAATAAAATCAGATGACCACGCCGGACACATTAAGCATATTCAGTTTGGTATAAATTAATTTTGAATTTTGCCCAGGTGGCGGCTGAAGCCTACTCTTATCGATTTTAGGACCATCAAGGGATCTTTTAACGTGCGCAACGTGCACACTTTATCCGAATAGACTGGATGATAATATTTTACTTACCCAAAGATCAGGGGTATAGCTGAAAGACAGCAGTAAGAAGAAGATAATTATTTGCAGTATAAAGGCTGCAGAAAGAGTCAGAAGCCCAGATGAGGTGGCCGGAGGAGGGGGGTGGGGGAGATTGAAGAAAGTGGAGACGAAAGCACACGACAGAACATGGTTAGAGAACAGAAAAGGGAGTGAAAAGAGAAAATATTTTTAGAGAAGAAAATTTTTTGTCGCTGTCAGGTTTCGAACCTGAGATCTATTAAATGAGAGACGAACACCGTACTTTTAGACCACG